AAAGACAAAAAGACAAAAAAAAAAAAAAAAAATCTTTGTCCAAAGAAAGTGTATAAAAACTCTCATGTCAAGGAGCTAGGGGCCGCTTTTCTGAAAGACAAAGCAACCCAGCATGCTGAAGTAAAACTCCTCTTGCTTAAATTGCAGCGATCTCTTGTCTCGTGGTCTCTGTGAGGCGAGTCACTCCGGTGTATAGGATTTGTGCTTGGTGCACGGGTCTTACATTGGATTCTAGGTCCTGGGGTCCTCTGCCCCCATGGAGCTTACATTCAGCAGAAGAGATGAGCATTACACAAAGGAACCAACAAGGCTCCAGCCTGGCCAAGACCCCGGGGTCCAGATTGCAGCAAGAACTATACAGGCTTAGCCGATACCTATATCAGCAGGGCCCACAAATAACTAAAGACTAAAGCCCAGTCCCTGTTCAGGGCCCTGGGTCACCCTAAGGAGAAAGGGGCATCAAAATAACCACCAGACTGAATTTTCTGCCAGTCCAGAGGGAAGAGGCCTCAGACACTGATTGCTGTTGATGTAACAAAAATAAAGCAGTTTGACTTTTCTTGCACCCAAGCCTATGGCCTGATTCATAACTGCTGGACAGTATCTAGGGCATGTCTAGTCGAACAAAAATAAAGCAGTTTGACTTTTCTTGCACCCGAGCCTGTGGCCTGATTCATAACTGCTGGACAGTATCTAGGGCATGTCTAGTCGAGGTACACTTGGAAAGTAACCCACAAGACTGGTGGGGAAGGAGGCCAGCCGAGCAGTCTAGGGCAGCCAGATCCCCCAGGGCTGAGCAGGGAATTGGCAACAACTGGCTTGAAATTGGAACAGTGGAAGGCATTCTTGGGGTCAGAAGGGTTCCTCATAAACCCATCTGAGGGGATGCTAGTTCCCCCATAACTTTTGGTTGGATGTGGGGCTTCTTTTAAATACCTCTCCTTTTTGGTCAGTGTCCCCTGAAGGCCCCATCAGCATCACTACAGTTAACCCATAAGATACCTTTGTGCAAGCAGAAAAAGGCACCCCTCTAGGCCTTTGTGTGAATTAGAAAAAGAAGCTCCCATCCAAGACAGAGCCAGGGCTCAGAGTGGAGCCATGGGGGATTTCAGACTCAACTCTGCCAGGAGCCTGTTACCTCAATGGTAGTGGCTTCTTCCTGGGCTTGGCCTGACCAGCTGGATCTGTCTGGGCTGGTTTGCTGGAAGAGGCAAGTGGATAGAGAAATATGAATCCTTTAGACTTTGCCTTCTTTTTTTTTTTTTTTTTTTTTTTTTTTTTTTTTTTTTCAATTTTTTCTTTTTTTTTTTTTTTCAATTTTTTCTTTTTTTTTTTTTTTCAATTTTTTCTTTTTTTTTTTTTTTCAATTTTTTCTTTTTTTTTTTTTTTCCTTTTTGTCTTTTTTTTTACTGACCGGCAACGGGATCGCAACCCTCGGTGTTGCGCCCGCACCGCGCTCAGCCAGTGAGCGGAAACTGGTCTCCACATGGGATCCGAACCCTTGGCGGGAGTGCCGCCGCGCTCCCAAGCGGCGCACTCTCCAGTGCGCCACCGGGCTGGCCCAGACTTTGCCTTCTTTTTTTTTTTTTTTCCTTTTTGTCTTTTTTTTTACTGACCGGCAACGGGATCGCAACCCTCGGTGTTGCGCCCGCACCGCGCTCAGCCAGTGAGCGGAAACTGGTCTCCACATGGGATCCGAACCCTTGGCGGGAGTGCCGCCGCGCTCCCAAGCGGCGCACTCTCCAGTGCGCCACCGGGCTGGCCCAGACTTTGCCTTCTTAAGTACAGCCCCTCTTCTTCAAATTGCCCAAAGCATTTATTTGACTCTTGGCAACTGTAATTCCCAGAAAATCCCCATCACTCTTAAGAGAAAAGCCTGTTTTATAAAGCTGATAAGAGGCAACCATTCTTCACATTTTTGTTGTAGCCCTTTCAGTCCTATAACCTCAGCAGTGCATATAAAACCAACAACCTGGTAGCAAAGCCTTTGGGGAGCAGCCCTCAGACGCTAATGACCTTTGCCCATTCCTGACCTCAGAGCCTCTGGGAAGCCAGGCTGCAGCTGTGGTTGACCTGGGGTTCAAGTCCACAGAGGGCTTAGTCCAAAAAGGTCAAGAATGGGGCTAGGACAGAATCTATGAATGCAGACACCTAGCCCAGCCACTCTGAAGTAAAGACACATTGCTCTTTGCATTCATTCATTCATTCATTCATTTGCTCATTTAACAATTATTGACTAAGAAGCCTCTACATACCAAGCACTGTACTAGGTGCTGGTGATACAATAATGAATAAAATAGTTTATAATTTAGTGAAATAGGCTTTAGACAGATTCATACAGATAAATGTAAAATTATAATTGTGGTGATACCCAGTTTGGATGCCTTTCTAAGGATCTTTCCTGTATATCACAAGGAGCCACTGAAGATACTGAAGCAGGGGAGTGAAAATATCATAAATAATTACTTGAATTTTTCCCATTGCAGCAGCAGTGACTAATCCAAAAGAATAAATATGGTGAAAAATGATGAAACCTTGGAGGCCTCAACTTATATATTTACATCTTCTATAAGCTGGACTTTTACTGATGGTTGATCCTTAAAGATCTCAGAAAGAAATTCTTAAGTTGGCCACAATTGACAAGCTGGACATGGCCAAATATTTACTGAAAAAATTTGCTTTTGCCCCTGGGTTCCTTGTATATTTCTCTTTGTTATCCAGATTCAAAACTAGAGTCAGTTCAGGGTTAACACCACCCTTGGAACTAAATATATATTTATTGAATAAATGTATGGTGGAGTAAATAAGACTGACTGGATGAATTAAAAAAATAATGACATCTGAAACTTTCCCCTTTCCTATGACTTCTGCTCTGTCTGTCCCTTTCTTTCCCACTGCCCCAGACTCACATCATTGCTACCTTGGTCTATTAATCAGTCTCCTAACAGGTATCCCTTCCTCTAGTCTCAGGCATCCCTGGCCTCTCCATACTCCCTTAATCTGCCAGTTATATCATCTCAAAACCTGGAAGCGATCTTGTAACCCCCTGTTCCAAAACTTTCAGTGGCTCTCCATGGCTATGGGAAAAAGTCCAAAATTCTTAGCAAGACATCCAGATTGGGCACCGTCACTCCTTTGTAGGTGTCTCTCTTACCATCTGTCCTCCTGGGCATATTTCTTCTTCCTGGGGTACTCTTTAAATTGCAAATTTTTTAATAAAAGTGAGTATAAACCCGTATCTATCTCTCTTACAAGGTTCCTTGAGGGTTGCGACTGTGTCTTAAGGATTTTGGATCCTTAGCAAGCCTGGCTCATGAGAGATATTAAAATAAATGTGAGAGGGCCGGCCCGTGGCTCACTCGGGAGAGTGCGGTGCTGATAACA